TGTGTGACTGTGCAAACAGAAAATCCATGAAAAAACATAAAAATATTCCTGAAATAGCACCGTACACCAACGCTGTGTGCAAAAATCCCAGTGGGATGCAAGTCAAACAACAACAACAACCACAAGGCAACTTAGATTAAGGCCATCAGTGTAACTCCGTACTACAACAAACAAACATGGCCAAACCAAAAAAACTTTTCGAAATCACCAAAGTAAAGCCATGAAATCAATGTAACAGTGATCATAGGGACTGTGACCGAATTTTCACAATAAACAACGTCAACAACATGTACCACCAAATCCTGCAGCCATAGCTGGCTGCATGATTCACTCCACAACAACAGGAGCATCAGTCGGAGCAGCAACATGTTTCAATGCACCTTTAAGATCAGCACACTAAATAAAAATACAGAATACTTTGCAGCAGTCATCCGGAGCGAAACATTTTATTTCATTTTAGGCCACTGAATAGTAGTGGCAGCTAGGGGTGTACAACTCCTCTAGAGCAGTTTTGAGTGAAGATCTCATAGGTAGTGATTCAAGTTGCAGTTTATTGGCAATAGCATTCCAGACCCTGGGGGCATCAATAGCAAAGGCCCTTCCTCCAGTTTTTTTACGGCAATAGGGAATGTGAAGCTGGTAAATGAGCGAAGACCTGAGGTCAAATTTGTTCTTTGAAACAGAGAGGAGATCCAGCAGGTAGTCTGCGGATTTTTTTTGTAAGTACATCGTGAATAAATAAGATATGGTGCACAAGCCGTCGAACATTAAGAGATGTTAAGTTTGACCCAATGTAGAGATCACAGTGGTGAGTTCTATATGGGCAGTTCAATGCTAATTTTAAGGCCGAGTGATAGATGGAATCAAGCTTCTTCAGTACAGTACTACACATGTGTAGCTACTACATGTGTAGCTACTACATGTATAGCTACACATGTGTAGCTACTGTTGTAGCTACTTGTGCTGCTAGGGGGCCGTTAATAAATGACGTCACGCACCTAAATGGGGGGGGGGGGGGGGGGGGGTTCAGACATCTGTAACGATGTGTGACGAGGGGGTGGGGCGGTTTTAGAAATGTGACGTCACATCAAAATGCGCAACTTTAAATAAATATAGACAACACGTTCTACTTAGTTAAATAGACTTTGTAATAAATGTTTTCTCCTACAACATCAGAGTGCAGCGCCACATTAAATACGCACTACAATGACAATCGTTCAAAGCGATTTTAAGCATGTTTTATTTTCAAAATGTAAATATGGTTTTGGAGCGGGGGGGGGGTGCAGACCTTTGTGACGTCATATTTGATGGGGGGGGGTCTGACTTTTTGTGACGCCGTGTGACGAGGGGGGGGTCAAAAATCGTCCAAAATCGCGTGACGTCATTTATGAACGGTCCCATAGGATCATCCGGCACTGGCCCGGCCCAAAGCTCCCAGGTGCACCGCCTGCACCCTCCACGTCGACACCGGTCACCGCGTCGGCCAATCGGCGGGCGTGGCGCGCCGTAACGCGCACGTCACGTGACTCCACTGATGACGAACGCGCACAGAGGCCCCACCGGGAGACGCGCGTGGACTTCTGAAGGGGTCCCGTTGCTCTTTGCTAACAATTGCGTAGCAACAGCGGCGTAGCAGGGTTAGCCTGGGCCCTGGTGCACGGAATAAAGTTCACCCCCCCCCCCCACTCGCCCCCACCTCTTGGTATCCCGAGGAGCGGGCCTCCTCCTCCGTCCCCATTGGTCGGTGCAGTTGCACCGCCTGCGCCCTTCATAGCCACGGCACTGGATTTTATTCTGGTCTATGGGTTTTGTTTGTGAGTCTGTGGGTCCCTAAGTAAATCTATATGTTAGTTCATGGGGCCCCTATGTAAGCCTATATAGGTCGCTATACGAGTCTATGGGCCTCTATGTGGGTCTACGGGTCTCTACGTAAATCTGTAGGTCTGCGTGTAAGTCTACGGGCCTATATGTGAGTCTGCGGGCCTAGGCCACGGTAAATGTATGGGTCTCTTTATCAATCAATGGTTCTCAATGCAAGTCTGCGGGTCTCTATATGAGCCTGTGGGGTCACAGTAGGCGTAGCGTAGTGGAAATAGCTCCTGGCATTCCCCACCCCAACCACCCTCTGGGCCTCCACGAGCTTCTGCGCAGCTGCACCGCCTGCGCACCTCGCGAGCCTAGAGCCACGGCCCTCTGTGACAGATGTCTCGGCGTGAGTCCCCAGCTGCTCGACACCAAATTCCCCGTGCCCAGTCTCAGCGACGGGGCCATTGCGACAGTGATGGAGGCCGGGGAGTTCCACCTCGTGGTGGTGGGGGTCACGCACGAGGTGGGAGGGGGCGAGGGTGGGGTGGGGTTCATACCGGAGATGTTGCGCGTCGAACTTCTTTCGCACCGCACGTAGCCAACCGTGCTCATCGGAGTTGCGATGGGTCTCTGTGTGAGTCTATGTGTCTCTGTGAGTCTATGGGTCTCTGTGTGAGTCTATGTGTCTCTGTGTGAGTCTATGGGTCTCTGTGTGAGTCTATGGATCTGTGTGAGTCTATGGGTCTCTGTGTGAGTCTGTGTCTCTGTGTGAGTCTATGTGTCTCTGTGTGAGTCTATGGATCTGTGTGAGTCTATGGGTCTCTGTGTGTGTCTATGTGTCTCTGTGTGAGTCTATGGGTCTCTGTGTGAGTCTATGGGTCTCTGTGTGAGTCTATGTGTCTCTGTGTGAGTCTATGGGTCTCTGTGTGAGTCTATGTGTCTCTGTGTGAGTCTATGGGTCTCTGTGTGAGTCTATGTGTCTCTGTGTGAGTCTATGGGTCTCTGTGTGAGTCTGTGGGTCTCTGTGTGAGTCTATGTGTCTCTGTGTGAGTCTATGTGTCTGTGTGAGTCTATGGGTCTCTGTGTGTGTCTATGTGTCTCTGTGTGAGTCTATGTGTCTCTGTGTGAGTCTATGGATCTGTGTGAGTCTATGGATCTGTGTGAGTCTATGGGTCTCTGTGTGTGTCTATGTGTCTCTGTGTGAGTCTATGGGACTCTGTGTGAGTCTATGGGTCTCTGTGTGAGTCTATGTGTCTCTGTGTGAGTCTATGGGTCTCTGTGTGAGTCTATGGGTCTCTGTGTGAGTCTATGGGTCTCTGTGTGGGTCTATGGGTCTCTGTGTGGGTCTATGTGTCTCTGTGTGAGTCTATGGGTCTCTGTGTGAGTCTATGGGTCTCTGTGTGAGTCTATGGGTCTCTGTGTGAGTCTATGGGTCTCTGTGTGGGTCTATGGGTCTCTGTGTGAGTCTATGGGTCTCTGTGTGGGTCTATGGATCTCTGTGTGGGTCTATGTGTCTCTGTGTGAGTCTATGTGTCTCTGTGTGAGTCTATGGGTCTCTGTGTGAGTCTATGGGTCTCTGTGTGAGTCTATGTGTCTCTGTGTGAGTCTATGTGTCTCTGTGTGAGTCTATGGGTCTCTGTGTGAGTCTATGGGTCTCTGTGTGGGTCTATGGGTCTCTGTGTGAGTCTATGTGTCTCTGTGTGAGTCTATTGGTCTCTGTGTGGGTCTATGGGTCTCTGTGTGGGTCTATGGGTCTCTGTGTGAGTCTATGTGTCTCTGTGTGAGTCTATAGGTCTCTGTGTGAGTCTATGTGTCTCTGTGTGAGTCTATGGGTCTCTGTGTGAGTCTATGGATCTGTGTGAGTCTATGGGTCTCTGTGTGAGTCTATGGGTCTCTGTGTGAGTCTATGGGTCTCTGTGTGGGTCTATGGGTCTCTGTGTGGGTCTATGGGTCTCTGTGTGAGTTCATGGGTCTCTGTGTAAATCTATGGGTCTCTGTGTGAGTCTATGGGTATCTGTGTGAGTCTATGTGTCTCTGTGTGAGTCTATGGGTCTCTGTGTGAGTTTATGGGTCTCTGTGTGAGTCTATTGGTCTCTGTGTGAGTCTATGGGTCTCTGTGTGAGTCTATGTGTCTCTGTGTGAGTCTATGGGTCTCTGTGTGAGTCTATGGGTATCTGTGTGAGTCTATGGGTCTCTATGTGAGTCTTAGGGTTAACACACGAAACACAACAAGCAATTCTAAAGGGATGACTTTGTTCAATCTAGACGACGATGATTTATAAGGGCGCAGCTCCCAGTGGCTTCCTAATATCGGAAGGGAAGAGCGTTCCAGACGGCCGCATAAGCGCACCTGAAAGCGCGATGACCGGAGTGTCGCGTGATGATGGTTCATGCTCCTTGACGAGGTGAGCAAGGTAAAATCATGACGTGATGTGTCAAATTAATCACGGCGTGGGGAGGCGATGACCAGTTCAGATGTCTATCACTCGCCGAGAGTCGAACTCTCAACTATGCCTGGCTCCCAGCCTGCCTCTTGCAATAGTGATATCTGTAATATATAGACAATGCCGTGCCATGTGAATACGGTTTGCTCGACCAACATCAATCATCACAGGGTACGCTCTGAATGATACCGAGAGATGGCACGAGGCATGGAGACCACGTGGATTAGAGGGCAAACGCAAGGCAAAGACATCAGTCGAACTGTTGGAGTGGCCAACACCACGCCCGGCCGCCTTTGTCTCTCCAGTGGCGATGTTTTACACCACACCGCACCAGGTACTCATTTGAGGCTGAGTCGACCTAGGGGAGGCCCAGGAGCGGCTCAGGTAATCGCCGTGGTGTTGGTGGTGGTGGTCGTGAGCGGGAATCCATCCCGCTACAATTACCACTGCCCTCAATGATCACATACAGTGCGTTATACTAATTTACATATGCCACAAAATATTTTAGACATTACAAAAATATATATTGCTTAAAATGTTTGCGCAAATAACGTGAACCGCTTCATGCTGTAAAAAACAAAAAATGCGAATAATCGTTCGAATTATTATTTTGTGCCCAATATATGTGTCTCAGCCAAATTTAGTCGCAATTATTCCCGGCATTCTTCGCGATATTTTTTGCTGCATCTCCCCGCTCCTCCCCAGCATCACCACGGGCATCTTTAGCTCCACCCAGCACCACCATCACCACCACCACCCACCCACACCACCACCACCATCATCACCCCCCTCCTCCCATCGCCATCGCGTCTTGCGCAAAGATCGCCGCACAGCACGCTCGGCAGAGAGACGCAGAGACACGGAGACCCAGAGAGTCAAATACAATTATTGTCTTACAGATAATAATTGTATTTAGGCATCATGTTATATGCGGTTGGAGGCAGGTGATTAATTGCCCGGCAATTGCTTGCGTGTTTATTTGTTGTTTTTATATTATTATTTCTATAATATTGCTGCTGCTTTTTGCAGCGTATTGGTAGCGCAGAGAGAAGGGTAGGGAGAGAGAGAGGAGGTGGAGAGAGAGAGAGATAGAAAGGCGAAGACGACAGGCGCTCACAATGGCTGACGCGTCAGAATGCAGCATCAAGGTGATGTGCAGAATCCGCCCGCTGAACGAATCCGAGAAGGTTCGAGGGGACAAATTCATCCCGAAATTCCAGGGCGACGACACTCTCTACATCGCGGTGAGGAGCCGAGCGCGACGCGACACGACGCGACACGCGGACCGCCAGGGCGGGCAGGGCAGGGCGGGTGCCCTGCAGGGAGATACAAACCCGCACGGATGGGGCTGAAGGGATTAGGCGGCGGGGGGAGGAGGGATTGGGGGAGATGGGATGCGTGGGAGAGGGATGGGAGACAGATGGGTGAGAGGGATTGGAAGAGAGATGGGTGGGAGAGGGATGGGAGAGAGAGATGGGTGGGAGAGGGATGGAGAGGGACGGGAGAGAGATTGGGAGATAGCATGGGTGGGAGAGGGATGGAGAGAGAGATGGGTGGGAGAGGGATGGAGAGAGAGATAGGTGGGAGAGGGATGGAGAGAGGGATGGGTTGGAGAGCGATGGAGAGAGAGATGGGTGACAGGGATGGGGAGGTACGGGAGAGAGATTGGGAGATGAGATGGGTGGGAGAAGGATGGAGAGAGAGATGGTGGGAGAGGGATGGGTGGCAGAGGGATGGAGAGAGAGATGGGTGGGAGAGGGATGGAGAGAGATGGGTGGGAGAGAGATGGAGAGAGAGATGGATGGGAGAGGGATGGGAAGAGAGATGGGTGGGAGAGGGATGGAGAGAGATGGGTGGGAGAGGAATGGAGAGAGATGGGTGGGAGAGGGATGGAGAGAGAGAGAGGGATGGAGAGAGAGATGGGTGGGAGAGGGATGGAGAGAGAGAGAGAGAGGGATGGAGAGAGGGCTGGAGAGAGATGGATGGGAGAGAGATGGAGAGAGATGGGTGGGAGAGGGCTGGGTAGAGAGATGGGTGGGAGAGGGATGGAGAGAGATGGGTGGGAGAGGGATGGAGAGAGGGATGGATGGGAGAGGGCTGGGGAGAGAGATGGGTGGGAGAGGGATGGAGAGAGATGGGTGGGGGAGGGATGGAGAGAGATGGGTGGGAGAGGGATGGTTAGAGATGGGTGGAAGAGGGATGGAGAGAGAGATGCGGGGAGATAGACGTAAGAGGGGGGTGGGGGGTGGAAGAGAGATGTGGATGGGGAACGGGGTGGGAACCCATTTAAGGAAACATTGAGGAATGAAGAAATGGGATTGAACAGAGGGAGGGCTGTTAAAAGGATGGCGACACATGCAAGAGGGGTGGGGAGGCAAGGAGGGAAAGGGATGGGATAGAGATGCAGAGAGGTAAACAGGGAGGGGAGGGATGTGGGCCGAATGGATGGCTGGATAGGTCGATGGAGTAGGTGGGGTGGGGGAACGATTCACGGGTGAATGAATGAAGAGGTGACGTAAAGATTCTAAAATGAATGAATCAATGATGAGCTCCCTGTAGAGATGTGGAGGGAGGGGGAGACGGGGAGGGATGTCGAGCGGTTTAATTGATGGGTGGGGTGGGGGGAACGATGCAAGAATGAGCGAATGAAGTGGAGGACAAAATGGGATTGATAAATAGTGGTCGGTAGAGAGGATGGATGGATTCGGTGGGCTGGTCAGGGGAACGATGAATCAATTATTAAAAGAGAGTAAATTGATTTATGGATGCACGAATGAAGGAAGGAATGAATGACCGGATATGCGGGAGTGAACGTAGACAGGAACGGATGCTACGGGTGGGGTTAGAGAACGGTGAATGAATAAATTGAGAGATTCGATTGATTTTTGCGTGCAAGAATGAATGAATGAATGAACGAGGGGGTCATTGTCGATATGAGAATGGAGGGAGGGGATGTGGAGAGTGTGGACGGCTGGGATGGGGGTGGAGAACGATGAAACGAATGAATATATAAAAAAATAAAAATATAATCGGAGGGATGTCAATGAGAGGGCTGTAGCGAGATGACGAGAGAGCAATGAGTGGATGGATGTGCGGCTTGATAGCGATGCATGAAGGAATACAAAAAACGGATGTTTTTAGATTCAATGGAGGCAGTGAGGGAGGGAGGAGATGGGCGGATGGGGAGTGAGAGAGGTTGGGGAGTGGTGAATAATTTAATTTCCATGATTGGCAAGAGTTGATTAAGTTTAAGGGATGTATGTAAATCAGCCAGATGGGAGGGATAAAGATAGAGGACGTGGGGGTGGGAATCAAGAGGGATGAATGAAGAACGGAGGATTCATGCACGGGGAGGAATTAATATATTAATGAGGATAATGGTGAATGTAGAAAGTGGATTGGGTGGAAGGAGAGCGGTACAGATGATTGTGAATAAGGGAGGGGAGGGAGGGGATGTGGTTATGCAAGGAATGAATGCATGGACGTAGGGATGAACGAATGCATTAATGAATGAATGAGGAGGTCAACGTAGAGATGGGAGGGAGGGGAAACTGGTGGATGGGTGGTGAAGAATGATTTAATCAGTGACCTGAACGAGATTGCAATAGGAGAGATGGGGTGGATGCAAACGAGACGGGTGATAGCGATGCACACGTTGAGGGAAAGCGGTGAATCGAGAGGCGACGTGGAGGATGGAAAGAGATGGATGGATGGAGAGAGGCGGATGTAGATAGCGGAAGGATGGATGCCAATTTAGAGACAGCGATGGAGGGAGTCAACGTGTAACTTCACGAAGAGAAAATACGGAGGGATAGAGGAGGGAAGGAAGGGAGGCAAGGATGGAAGGGAGGGATGGAGAAATGAGTGGATGGTGGAGGGTGGATGGTGGATTGGTGAATGGTCGAAGTGGCAAGCGGATTGATGGATGGTGAATCGAGGATGGCTGTACCTGCCACCGTAGCCACCATTATGAAGCAGAAACGTCGCGAGCAGCATCATCATCACCACCCATCACCACCGCCATCACCACCCATAACAACCAACCACCACCACCCATCACCACCACCACCCATCACCACCCATAACAACCAACCACCACCCATCACCACCCATCATCACCACCACCACCCATCACCACCCATTACAACCAACCACCACCCATCACCACCCATCACCACCACCACCCATCACCACCCATCACCACCACCATCACCACCCATCACCACCCATAACAACCAACCACCACCCATCACCACCCATCATCACCACCACTCATCACCACCACCCATCACCACCCATCACCACCCATCATCACCACCATCACCACCCATCACCACCCATCGCCACCACCATCACCACCCATCATCACCACCATCACTACCCATCACCACCCATCGCCACCACCATCACCACCACCATCACCACCCATCACCACCATAACAACTAACCACCACCACCCATAACCACCCATCATCACCACCACCCATCACCACTCATCACCACCACCATCACTACCCTTCACCACCCATCATCACCACCACAATCACCACCCATCACCACCAACCACCACGATGTTATACACGGAGACGGCTTCGGATATTCGTCACCGACGTCGGCTGTGAACGGGAAAAGAACCTCTGGTCGCCGGGTTCATCGCGCAACGCCCTCACCGCTGCGCCACCGCTCCCCATACACACAACAAAGATCCCCCGTGTAGGCTTGATAGACTGTTGGGGCAAGTGCTGTTAGCGGGCAGAACTTATGAAGGCCGGCACGGCACACGAGGGGGTGGGTGGCCAGCGCCACGCCCGGCCGCCTTTGTCTCCCCAGTGGCGATGTTTACTGCACACCGAACCAGGTACTCGTTTGAGGCTGAGTCGGCAAAGACAACGTGCGTACACACGTGGTGTACACAATTACGTACACACTAGGGCTGAACGATTAATCGATTTCAAATCGAAATCGCAATTTGAAACAATGCGATTAGTAAATCGCAAAAGGCTGCGATTTTTTGCGATTTGAAAAGTCCTATTACAGTGCTTTATTATTGGAATAGTTTTATTATAATAGCTTTATTTATTTAACTTAACAATTGTGTTTTGTTTGATTGTTCTATTTCAATTAAAACATTTTAATGAATACATGTTGGAAGCAATTAATATATTTTAAGTTCTCATCTCTGCATTAGAATATAAAGAGCAGTTCATATTGTGATGGTATCACGTGGTAATGCTCCATCACGTGTTTTACATCGATTACATAGCCAATATCGAACTGAAGCTTGACTTTAAAATTTAAAGCGCAAATCAAATCACAATGTCCGAAAAATCGCAATTATATATTTTCACCAAATCGTTCAGCCCTAGTACACACACACACAACAGCCACCACCACCACCACAACAACAACAGCCACCACCACAACAACAACAGTCACCACCACCACAACAACAGCCACCACCACAACAATGATCGTCGTTCAGCCACTAGGCGACCGTGACGTCACCGCACCACTTAGCGGTGACCTCAGCACGGTGCTCGTGCCAGGCTAAGTGCACTTTAAGGTCACGTCAAGGGACCAGCCATGGCAGTGTGGAAGGTGACGGGAGATGACTTGAAGATGCGCCACAAGGCACAGACCCCCCCCCCGCCCCCGTGTGCCCAGGGCCGGATTCAGGCGTGGGGGCTTTAAGGAGCTACAGCCCAGGGGGCCTCCAGAGATGAAGTCAAAAGTTATTTAATTTGTGAACGCTGAATTGTATTTGTTGTTAGCCTTGTAAAAAGACACATTTTTTTCCTTTAACTTTTTTTTTCCTTATGCAAAATATTACTGTGGGCCTCACAGTACCTGTAGCCCAGGGGCCTTCAAAATCTTCGTCCGTCCCTGCGTGTCTCCCCAGTGGTGATGTTTGGACACGGCACCGGGTACTCATTTGAGGCCGAGTCGACCTAGGGGAGGCCCAGGACGAGTTCAGATAATCGTCACTGGGTGTTGGTGGCCGTGAGCGGGAATCGAACTCGGACACGTATACACAAGCAGACAGGCGCGTACATACAGGGACACATTAGACACAGAGACACAGAAACTCCTTCACAAAGACACAGAGAGACGCAGAGACAAAGCCAACATCTAGAGGCGTACCGTGTGACCGTCCTCGAAAGGAGAGTCCTGGGGGTAACACAACGGTAACACAAAGATAACGCAAATCCCGCTCTCCTCCTCCTTCGCCTGGACATCTGTAAAA